CAGGAAGCACCTTGTTTGGAGTCACCTTGCTTTGAAGTAGAGCAGAGATTGTAGCACAGATACTGATTATTTTGTGTCATTTGGCTTCAGTGCTCAAAAATGTTTCTGTGCAAGTCTAGTGTGCCACTGTTGGTGTAATTTCAAGATGTAATTTGATGGAAGATGCTGAGACTGTGGTAAAACATAGGTAGGTAGGTGAAACATATCCTTATCCCCATTTGCTTTTGTTTCTGGTCACATGTTTTTACTACTCATCATTCCCTCTATGAAAAAAATAGATGTGACAGAGCATGAAACCAGTTTAAGAAAATACAGATAAGTTTCTGAAATGTTTTTAAATACAAGTGGCTCCTGGGAGAACCTGACTGTCAAGGGACAGTATACAAGTGAGTATGTGGCACAGGGAACCTTCCTGTGAGAAAGAAAGGGAGAGAACAAACCCACATAGGAAGATAGGAGAGAGCTGGGGAGAAGACCTTCCCTTTTGTTGAGCAGAAGCTATTGGATGCACCCAGCTGTACACTTTGAAAAATATATTTAATATAAACTTGGACTCATGAGCGCACATTCATTAGAAAGGCAAAGTTGTTTATTTATTAAGATTTTGGACTAATATAAGTATTCAGGTAGATTTTCAACTTTATTTATATTTTAATGGAGTGAAGTGATCACAACATTTTTAGCTAGGATTTTATTACAGAAATCATTTTGATATTGCAGAAGAGATAAATGCAATTCTGTATAATAATTTCATGGTTTGCTGCATGTTTTTATGTTATCTCAGAAACATTAAGTGATGCATAATCTAACTTAATTTTGTGAATGAAAATTTTGTAGGAGGTAATTGTTATCGTTCCTTCTCTTTGGCTTTCAAGAGATGACTTGTAGGGTGGTGGCAGAGCTGTGCTGAAGTTAATGGTGCCTCAGGCAGTGAAGAGGGTCTGCCTAATTAGACCTGTCTGAAATAACTAGTGTCTTCCAAAAGTGCATAGGAGGAATGTACATTAAATCAACAACCTGAAAAAATGTTGTGTGTACACCCTTCAGAAGGGAAATAATTAAGGCAGTGTGAAGGTTCAGTAAGGAATAGCTTGTGGCCTGCTCTGTTAGCACACTTGTTACCTAATTTGCTGCCTAGGGATGAAGCAAGATGCATGAGAGTCATCCTAACTATGGGATTTCAATTTCTAATCTCAGGAAGCATAAAAGAGTGTGCTCCTTATGGACCCTCCTCAGAATCTGGGCTTGGGTGAAGGATTTGGGGAACTTGCTCTGACCTCAGTCTGAGTTTTGCTTGGCATGTGTCATATAATTCAGTATAACTTTTGTGCCCCCCACAATGTGACTTTAGCCTCCCAGTGCATGTTTGGAAGCTTCCAAATTTGATTTTGAAAAAAAGCCTTTTTTCTGCATTCTAAAATGCAGGTTTGAAATATTTAATAATGTAGAATTGTTCTTATTTTTGTAACTGAAAATGCTCTTTCTGTGTGTATAGTGATATATATATATATTACTTACTATGGGCTCTTTCAAGTTGGAATTTCATGTTGTGTTAGTACAGGCATTCTGTTCCTCCTCATTGTGGATCACATTCAGCAGTACCTGTAAGAGTAAGTTTGAGGAATATTTTTTCTGTGAATGAAATACTCTGTATTCCACATGAAGGCAAGCATGGGATCCTTCTAGCATGTTTTCACGCAGCCTGTCAAGTTTCTACATGAATCTGTGTGGGAACTGCTGACCCACATGTGCTGAGTCCTGTGTGTGCCACTGGTCTTTTTTGTTATGTAGCAGTAAAGCCCAGAACCCTTTGCTATGCTGTGAAAATGCACCTTTTTCCAGAGCCATGCATATGAACCCTCTGAATGAAGAACCCCCTTGTACTGGTTCTCTTTAACAGCTTCACGTGTGAAATTGCATTGACATGTGCAAGGATGCAATAAACCAGAAACAAACCCAGAAACAAAAAACAGACTCTGGATGTCTTGAATGGCTTAGTGTACCACTTCATCAGAGCTCACTGTCCAGAGGAGAGTAAACAGAAACTATTTTTGAAGTGACAGGCCAGAGTAAAATTGTCTTACACTCTTCATTTTACTGATGCATCGCGTGGAGGTCCAGAAGCCACATTAGAGAACTGTAATCCTTCATCAGAGCATTTGTTTGGTTGCCTAACATCTGTGGATTGTTAAGATAAGTTATTACACAGACCTGCTTTAGTTTAGATTAGTTTGGACCACATCCCAGTGTATTCAATCAGGATATAATTCCTGCATGCTGCTGAATTGCTTGCTCCACATACTTCTCTAAAAATGTTTTTCAATATACAGTTTTGTCACTGAAACTCCTCTGTCACCTCAATTTTTCATTTTTTTTGTCTCTTAAAGAAGAACTTTTATTATTTTTCCTTTTGGACCGAATAGATCTCAAGGCGACTGTAGCATTTTTTAATTCCTGAAGAGATTCCTAAACAGGGGTGGTAGTATAGCTTCTATGTGAGTATAATGCAGATTTCCTATGTATGTAATCTGTGTTGATTGGTATGTATTGTGTCCAAGAGGCAGAGTTTAAAAATAGCTGTGAGAAAATGGGTTTGTATTTACTTGTCTAGTATTTCTTCTTTTAGTAGTCTGTATTTTTCTGAGTCTCTTTGTGCATTAGCTATTCTTATTTGATTGTATCTCATAATACTTTTTGCATAAAATGAATTACAGTATCAAGGGTGATTATGCAAATTAACAGTCTTTTCTTGAAGTTTATTACATAATTTATACATATTTAAAATTATTTTATACATTAAGTTGTAAAGGAAGTATGTTACTGGGCTTGCATATATACACACGTATGCAATTTAATTAGGATAATTTACTTAAGTATTCTTTATCCTTTAAACAAACTCTAGTTGATTAATTTTTTTATTAACACTTTTTTGAACCTTTCTTGGAAACTGATAAAATGCAAGTAATGACATTTTTTGTTACTGATTTTGGTTTATAGCATTGACATGGATTTCATACACAGACACATTTGCATGCACACTTTTGCTGTCTAATGAACTAACAGCTGTGGCAGATCATATAAAAGCATTTAAAAATGTGGCTTTTTTTCCTTTTAGCCTTTCTGTTTTGTTTTTTTTTGAATACCTATAATAAAAATCTGATAGACTAAAAGTCTATTCTGTTTAGACACATAGTCTAATAAACTGAACTGCTGGTTTTTGAGGTGTACTAGATGGAATAAATTAAACATTTTGGAATTGAGGGGTGTTTTTTTGAGATCTAGAATTTATCTTTGTCAAAGTTGCTGTTTCTCTTATCCTACTTAGTGTTATTTGTTTTCATCGTGATATATGTTTATGCCCCTTCTGGAATAAGTGTAGCTTTTGATTAAGGTTGGGTCTTTTTTAATTAAAGGATTAGTTGATACTTTATTATCCTTCTTAAACAGAAGAAATATAACAGTCATGTTTTGATAAAGGTACAATCCTGACAGAGGGTAAAGAGTTGGATGTCTTCTCTGTGTGGTTTGGTCAAACAGTGCAGGAATGCACTTGGAAGTTCTGATGTAGTTTTCAGACCTACAAAGATAGTCTATTTAAATAAATGTTAATTATTTTAAATATGTGAAATGCTTAAAGTTTTCACCGTGCCTTGTAAGCCAGGCACTACCTCCACAGGACAGAGAGTAAAAGAGCTCAGTAACAGAACTTTGTCCTGTTTAAGTTTCTTCCATTAAGTGGTTTTTTCCTCTTCTTTTTTATTTTAAGCACTGTAAAATTTTGTGACTCTTGCATCTTTCCTGTGTTTACACAAAATAATTCAAGCATATTTTTCCTTCCAACTTTTGTCATTCTTCTTAGCCTCATTGCAATTTTACCCATTCCTATATACTTTCTATATTAAATTATTTTCTTTACCATTTTCCTTAATAATAATCAGCTTTGTTTCCTCTCATCTCTGTTTTTATTTCTAACAAAAATCTCTCTTCTATATCCTTCATACATTTTGCCTATTTTTTCTTCTTTCTGAAAACTGTTTTTTTCTTTGTCTAATTTTTTTCTTAAATTTTCACATACTTTAGTCTTGATTAACCATTTCTTTTTCTCTGGTGAGTTCCTCCTGTACATAAGCCTGTCTCTGCAGTATACAGGCTGGAAACATAAAGTCTTGCTTTAATATGTGTGCTCCTGTATATCTGTGTGTAAGGAATTCAACCCCTCAATTTTAAAAAAAAATCCTAGGCACTACAGTCTGGGCACGCAACTTAATTGTGATTTACAGGGACACATGTTTGTTGAGGTATTATTTGCAGCTATCCCTCAAAGAGATAATGATAATGGTTTGCAAGTAGTACAGAATATGGTACTTCTGCATTATTTTCATTGATGTATTTAGTTTTCTGTTAGTAGATTTCTTAAGGTTTTACTTTACACCTCCAAGTAGTTGCAGTAGGTGTAGCTAAAATCATTCATGGTACGTAATGAATTTATTTGCAGGATAATGTGGAATTATTCAATGTGAGAAAATTAATTCACAAGAAAATGCCATGTCAATTTTCTGTGACCACAGAAGTTGGGACTTAGCTGGGCAGGGCACTGCCCCCTGAGGTACAAGTCCTGTTTGCAGTCTGGTGGGCTTGTCTGTCCTGACAGTGATCCACACGAGTGGAAAAAACCCAAGCCACTCCCTGCTGCATCAACTCCCCCAACAAGCACAGCTCATGTGGTCGGTGTGTGTTCAGAGGAGAACTAGGGCTGGGCTGAGGGAGGATTGCCACAGGTAGGACTGATGTATATTGACAAGACATTTTGGAGAAGCTCGCATAGCATGTGCCTGTAGGATGCTTGGCTCTAGCCAGTGAGAAGCATGTTCTGGGTCCTGTCATGAGCACCGGCCTCCGTAGCTCAGAGAGCCAGAGGCCGGACCTGCTCGGCGGTAGTGAGCATGCATTCCGGGCTCTGGGAGGCAGCTGCACTGACTCTTCTTGTTGTCTTCAACTAGGTTATGTGGGTATGCAATTTATGTCGAAAGCAACAAGAAATCCTAACGAAGTCCGGAGCGTGGTTTTTTGGAAGCGGGCCGCAGCCGTCGCCCAGCCAGGACGGAACGCTGAGTGACACGGCCACGGGCGCAAGCTCGGACGCACCGAGAGAAAAGAAAGCGAGGCTTCAGGAGCGATCGAGGTCACAGACTCCCCTGAGCACAGCAGCTGCCTCATCACAGGAAATCTCCTCTTCCAGTGTGCAGCCTGACCGTAGGAAAGGAGCAGAAGTGTCGCAGCCGGCTATGGGCCCGGACCAAAAGCAAGCTTCAAGGTCTAGGAGTGAACCTCCAAAAGAGAGGTAATGCTTTCTGTCTAGATAGAGCCTACCATGCTAAATGCTAGTTCAGTTGGGCCTTCTGTATGTTTGCTGCTGTGTAAAAACAAAGATTAAATTTATTTACTCACCAGGGAAGGATAAATTTTTGCTAGCAAATACATTGTCTATTTTGGTCTATGAAACATAAAATGAGGAAAAAAAAATATTTTATGGATATTCCCATATACTTCAATGCCTTTTGATGTATACTTTGAATACAGAATTGTAGGTTACTTTTAAATTTTAAATTTGACTGGTATTTTAAACTTATTAAGAAAAGAACTTGAATTTTTAAAGCAACATTCTCCTGAAAAATCCACACCTAAGCAATCAGAAAACACCCTGTGGAATTCTTTCAGATAAACGTATATTTTATCTCTTCATCAGTGGTATGAGATATCATTGATATTATTTCCAATTTTATTGTTAGAAATAATACAGATAAAAGACCTCATTTACATGTGTGAAGTTAACATTCATGTACAACAGCAATAGTACCATCTTGAATGCAGAGCAAGTTTTTTTGCAAGGATAAAGCAACCAGAAGCAAAGTATTTTAAATGAGTTAAAGAGGGAATTCCTGAGCTGCATTCTGGGTGATGAGGAGTAGCAAGTCGGGAGAGGCTGATGCAATGAAGTAGTTGCTGTTCCTTTGGCTGCCTGGCAGATGGCAGAGCAGTTGAGGAGGGAGCCTGTGACACCAAAACAGGAGTCTGCCATAGAAGATTCTTCAGATTCTGGCCAAAATGGTTGATGATTTTTTTCCCTCTAGCTATTGGAGCTGAAAACAGATGATGAGCAGTGGCTAGTAATTTTCTGTGTGGGTGAGATCTATCTGGGTTTAACTGTATCAAATTCAGGTTAGTGTTACATATATGTATTGTGTAAGTGATGCCCTTCCATAATTCTGTTGACTTTTGTCCCTCAACACAGGGAAGACCCCCAGAGCAGCTGTAACTTTTAGGGCAGGAAAACATTTTAGATTTCTGCTTTGCTGCCCAAACCTGAGATATCAGTTCATATCAGTTATAAAAAAGTTAGTGTTATATCAGTTACAAAAAAGTTAGTGTTCTTTACTTGTCACTGAGAGTTTCAAATGAATTCCAAGCACGCTGATTAAAGATTATCTGTAGTAAGATCAGGTCCCATTAATTGCCAAAAACTCTGGAGAAACAAGAGATGAGGGAAAAAAAAAAGAGAAGGGAGCTTAATGGGGATGATGTCCAACTTTGTTCTTTGTGAGGGTCTTTGATATGTAATCCAAAGATGTGTCAGTTGTGGAAGGAAAGATTAAGTGCCACAAAACGAAGTCCTAGTAACTTTGTATCAGTGTGCATTCTTCTCAAATAGACTATAGGTGTGTTCCTCCTTCTTCAAAATCAATGGATTCATATGTGAACTGCTCTATGAAAGGGCAGTTGGATTGATGAGAGAAGTAAAAATATCCACCATAAGGGAATTTTGTGATTATTTGGCTTGCTTATTGGCTTGCAGAATATGAAAGAGAAAAAAAACATCGTGCAGCTTCATTATTTATTGTTTTGTACTTATGTCTGCATAGAGAAATAAACTTCTCATCCTCTTTTATTACTGGAGAAAGGAATACTATTCAAGGAATCAATCTGCTTTCCTTTACATGCTTATGAAACAGGCACTTCTTTTTAGAGTTTCAAAGATAAATCAAACTAGTTTAAATATTTCTGGATATATTATCTTTTGCATTTTTCTATAACTATATTACTTCTTTCTCTAATGTTATTGTGGTAGATACTCCATTTGGTGGTATTTACATCTACGCTGTCAGGGCACTTGAAGTGAATTGTGTGGTTAGTCTGTAACTTCCATGACTGCTTCCAGAAAAATGGAGAACATACTCCAGTACCCTGTAGTAATGCTGCAGTTAATACAAAGACAACTCTAGATCTTCTTCCTTACATGGGTAAACTATCCATGTCGATATTAGTTTTTGATTTTACTCATTAATTGGACCATTCATAATTTATGTTTTTGTGGACTCTGGAAGTTGTTTGCTATTGGAAAATAAAATTAAGATGGAAGGATTAATAGATTTAATTTGTGTTAATGGATTCAGTATTTTCTATTTTGCCATAGCTTATCTTGGTTTTGAATTTGTTTTCCATAACGATATGCAAGTATTTCTATTTTCCATTCAGTTCTTCATATTACTCCTTTTCATTGTAGGAAGAAGGCAGTATTGGTTTCTGACCAGAATGGCAAAGGTGTAAAGAGTGAGCGTAAGCGTGTGCCAAAATCCTCACTTCAAAAAGAAGGACCAGCAGATGACAGGGAGCGTAAAGAGCGGCATGAAGGTAGAAGGCTGGAGAAAGGCAAGTCACAGGATTACCCAGACTTGCCAGAGAAACTTGAGGAAGGCAAAGTGCCTGACGATGAAAAACAAAGGAAGGAAGATGAATATCATACCCGTTACAAGAGTGACCCCAATCTGGCGAGATACCCTGTAAAACCACACCCCGAGGAGCAGCAGATGCGCATGCACGCCAAAGTTTCTAAAGCACGACACGAGAGAAGACACAGTGATGTAGCTTTGCCACACACAGAAATGGAGGAAGCGGAGGTACCTGAGAATAAATTAGGAAAACGCTCACAATTACAGGGAACTCAGGACAGAAAATCTCTTGTGGAAACTCAGAGGTCGTACTCTATAGACAGAACAGGTGATGTAAGAATTTCTGTTTCTAAACAATTAACTAATCATAGCCCACCAACTCCCAGGCATAGTCCAGTTCCTATAGAACACGTAGAATACAAGAACCACGATTCCTTTATAAAACAGAGCCGCCTTGATCCTAGCTCTGCTATTCTCATGCGAAAAGCAAAGCGGGAGAAAATGGAGACCATGCTAAGGAATGATTCCCTTAGCTCTGACCAGTCGGAATCAGTGCGGCCATCCCCTCCAAAGCCTCATAGAGCAAAAAGAGGCGGAAAGAAAAGGCAGATGTCAGTTAGTAGCTCAGAGGAAGAAGGGGCATCAACACCAGAATATACTAGCTGTGAAGATGTGGAGATAGAAAGTGAAAGTGTCAGTGAAAAAGGTAAGGACTTTTCTGTATATTATGCACATGGCCATGATTTGGGGTAAAAAAAAAAAATCTGTATTTTTCTCTCTCTTTTCCTCTTTTTAATCATACACTTTTTCCCCTTGCCTTTCTTTTTTTTGCCAACTGAGAAGTGTCTTATACCTGATTACATGTGCTTTACAATGTTTCCTTTTGCATTCTTAGATGAGGTGATTACAGGTAGCGTCAGCTGATGAGTTTCCTTTTCATTCTCTTCCCTCTTTCACCTGGAAGTGACAGAATTCAAGGGTTCTAGTCTACTCTCTTGATGATATCTGTACTCTTTTGGTCATTACTTCTTTCTTTTGTCTGTACATAGAACAGACAAAATGGATGGATTGAAATTAAAAGTGAGTTCTGTAACAATCAGAGGAGACCATTATAAAGCATCATAAGATATGCAAAATTTTACTACATTTAATAAAATATCAAAAATCTGCCAGAGTTCATTGTTACTAAGGACAAGTAGATATGGGGCAAAGGGAGTGTTATGTAGAAAAAAAAAGAGAATTGACAAAGTTGTTGTCTAGATGAATTTTCTCTTGAGCTAAGAAGTATGTTTAAAGTCTGTTATTTCAGTTTGTCTTCATCTGTTGATGGTAACACTCAGCAGCAAGGAGTAACTTGTAGTACACTATGTGCTTTTAAACAAAGCCTTTCTTCTGGCTGAAGAAGTTAATCAAATTTAGAAATCCTGAACAGATAAAATAAGCATTGTCAGAAAAGACTGTAGCAGAATTTAGCAACAGTGTTATAATCCTGCTTTGTCTTTGGCTGACAGTACAGTGAGCTGAAAGCTTTCTATGTCTTTGGTTTTTAGCTCCTTAGTTTAATTATCTGTGTTTGTACCTTGAAAGTTTCTTGCTGGTATTCATACTGAAAATTCCAAAGACTTGTCTGCATTGCCTTTTAGTTCCTGGCACTGTTTCCTGACATGTCTGTGATTCATATACGCTAATCCGTCTGTCTGTCTTTATCTGATGTTGTGGTCTCCTAGCATCACCTAAAGCTCTAGGAATACATAATAAAGATAGCAGATTTCTCTCCTATCCCATCTGGATAACTGTTTGTTTTAACTTTCTAAGCATGAGCTTTTCCATTCAGAATATGGAAACTTGCTTTTCTGCTCATTTTTAAGAAGGAATGGTGATCATACTCTGAAACTTAATTCCAGATTCCACTCAAACATAAGAAAATTCTCACTTATTTGACTGACTTTTGTCAAATACTGGAATGTATCGCACAGAGATTTGTACAGTCTCCATCCTTGGACATGCTCAAAACCCAAATGGAGAAGGCCCTGAGCAATCTGCTCTGCTGACACAACTTTTGAGGAAGGGTATTTGAACTAGAGGTCCCTTCCAGTCTCAACTATTCTGTCTTTCTAAGACAACACATCTCTTTTCCTTATTTTGTGGCCATGTTTTAAGCTGACATTTGGATTTGTGTAATTTTCCCTGACTCCATCTGTTGGAAGTAGAAGTCAGTAATACAGCATTTCTTTTCCATCTTTCATTATGTTTATCAGTTTGAGGTTGCTTATGAAGTGGATGGAATTTCCCATAATCAGTGTAGGTTATTCATATAAACTGAAAGGTTGTTGTTCTGCAAGTCAAGTCCAGGCTGAAAGTTACTATACTGATATAATATTGATATAGTTGGTGTTACAATAGTCTTTCATAAGTAAAATCTTTCAGTAACTGCTTTCAGGCTCATGACACTGATCTCAGCTTTTGACCAATTTCCCCGTGTACTGTTAAAACAAAGGCTTAAATTTTTTTTTTTCCCTTAAGTGGTATGAATTCCAGAGAATTTCAAATGTTGCTAAAGGTTTATGTTCTCAGTGACTGAATCAAGCTCTTGGTTACCTCCTAGACACATGTTCAGGGTCCCCCTTTACAGAGTGGAGACCTTGGTTAGTATGATATCAGAGTGCTACCTCAGTGTATTTGGATAAAAGTTATTGATAGGAGTATGTTAGGGACCTGCCCGACCACTGACCTCCACATACATGATTTACATTGTTGAGCATTCCTTGGGACTTTGTATCTAATTGCCAACAGAAATGTGTGTGTGTGTGTATGTGTGGAGGGGTATTCCACGCATTAATTACAGAGCTATATTTATTAATTTAATAGTTATGATATTTAGACATTATTTTTTGCCTGATTTTTTTATATGACTTTTCCTTAACAAGGATTGTAAATGGAAAGCCTTTGAAGATAGGGGTGTATAGCCCATAAAAGAAGAGATAGGATATGTGAATAGAAATGAGAAAGCAGAAACATTTTTTGATCATAAAGTATCCAATTATTTTTCCAGTTACCTTTTCACCAGTACTTGAAATACTCCGGAGTATTTCATAAAAATAGATGGAAAGGCACGAGATTTTATTACCTAAGAAAATATTTTAGAAATTCCCCAGTACTCTAAAAAAAAATATGCTGCAGTAAAAGGATTTAGTTTTAAAGACATATATATATATGTAAATAATTTTAAAATGCTGCTATTATAACCCTGATCATAATCCCATTCTTTGCAATTTAACAGCATTGTTACAAACCAAATTTCACCAGAATTTCTTCAGTTCTTTGCTTGTAACTTGGGAGAAATACTGCACAGGTTCAAAGTTATAGTGCTTTACTTTATAAGCCCAGGAGGGTCTGGAATCCATCCTGTCTTATCTAAATGTCAGCTCAGTCAGAAACCTGGTGCCAAAGTAATATAGATGAAGCTAGAAACTTTGAATGGCCCTATAAAAAACCCCCAAGATCTCAAAAGTAATGTTTGCATTTGGTGAGTACCAATATGAAATGATCTGCACATAAGTAATAAAGATGTACTATTTTCAGTTCTATGTTGAACAAATAAAATAGAAGTTTTTGTGAGAAACAGCTTACAGAGATGTTTAAAGGCAAATGATGCCCCAGAGAAAGACACAATACAGGTAGGATGGATAAGACTGTATTGAAAATCGATAGCCAAAAATGTCATATAAAGCAGATACTGTGCAAGATATTTTTTAACATTTGCATTTCCTAGAAACAGGTTAGTATTGCATTACCCTATCTTCTGAGCCCAAAATGCCTTCAGAAAAGCAACCTAATCTAGCTAGTGCATCCCTTGCTATTTACTTTTATAATTTAATATCGATTTCTTCAAAATTATTCAAAAATCATGAACAAGCACTAGGAGATTTCTTTCCAAAGAGTAAATGTATTTTGAAATCCACTGGGATTTTACTTCTTTGGTGGAGGATCCAAAGAATTGTGTCAAATTGTTTCCATGTTGGAGTAAATCTAGAGAAAGAGCTCTTTATAGTGTCAAAAAAAAAAAGATGAGTGTCATCTCAAATTCTTATTAAATTATCTACACCCTTTACAGGAAACTACAGAATGCTGATAATAATTTTCATTCTATTTTTAATAGAGGCTGTAGAACTCCTTTTTCTGAAATCTCTAATAGTTGAACCAATAGGTGGACTGCATTTCAAGTTAAGTCCTGGCAAGGTGAAAGGAATCCTTGTAGAAGGCATAAATTGCATTCATACTTCTTCAAAGACAAGCTAGAATGACATAAACCAGACTATTAACAATAAAATCCAGACCTCACTTTAAAAGTAACAGTTTCTGTCTACTGCTATCCAGCGAAGAATGCAAATTTTATTTGGCATAAGTTCGAGCAAACGTATTTTCTTTGAAGTTGAAAAATAAGAATTTGTGTAAAAATAGTAGATTTGTGTCCAGATGAAGTTGTATAAAAGTTATTATATCCATTGATGGATACAAGAGATAGTTCAGAACTTGTCATGCAACCTTTGAAAATGGAAGATAAGGTATTGTTGGAAGTTGGAGCAATGTGGAGGAGGTACTGCTCCAGGACTTTTATGTAAATAAATGAGCTAATAATTTTACATTTTGAATACTTATTGTTCATATTTGCCTACATGTGTATTTTGTTCACCCACTTTAGGCTTGAAATTACAACTAATACTCACAAATTGGTAGTAAAATGTTGAAAACCTAAGTAAAAATCACTCTGTATACTTGTTACTGGATTTATTTGGGAGTGAGGAGAGCATGATAGAATTGGTGCCTTCCTTGAAAAACAAACTCCTGAAATGGCTTTCTGCTTTCTTTCAGAGAAGACATGATGGTTTCATTCATAATGCCTTTCTCACGGTACTGTGAGAAACAGGGTGACCCAATTTAATTTAATTTCATTCTGATGACATTGATTTCTGGTTAGAAAATGTAATGGGCAGGGATCTTGCTATTTTCTTGGTTTATTCCCAGGTGTGAGGCAGGGGGTTGTGAGCAGGAGGAGAGGATGTGGAGGTCAGGACCAGAAAGGGATGCTGTGGTTTGCTGACAAATAAGTCAGTGCTGGCTCAGCTCCAGGAGAAAAGGATCTGGCCCCTTCCTCCATCCTTTTCTGGTGTTTGGAGGGTCCCTTTGGGTACCTGTGCTTGGGGGTGCTCCCAGGAGAAGGAGGGAATGAATTATATCCTTGCCCCAAGGATTTGTTGCAAGCTCTGTAAGCATTGTTGACACGGAAGGTGGCTTAGGAGTTAGGAGGAACCACACACGTGCAGTAGGGCCTATAAAGGAACCAAAAGAAAACATCAGGAAAGGGCTGTAGAGAAGAAAAGGCTGATTGGAAATGTTCTTAGTTAAACTTTTTGACTGAGGTAGTTTCAGTCTGGAGTGTAGGCAAGTCAAATTGTACTGTAACATCTGCTAGCATGTTTTAACATCTGTTTGTTTGGAGAGTTCAGCATGGAGTTTTAAAGCTGGAGCAGAATTTGTTTAAAAGTGTGGCTGAGATTTAACTTAGTGTAAAATAAAATGTCCTAGGAAGATTGCTGGTTTTTAAACATTAGTTCAAATGTATCTTTTAGTCCTTGTGCAGTAATTTATACCTACATCTGATTCAGATTTTAATGGAAATATAATTTAAAATGACTCTTGTTTCAG